TGAGGTTGAACAAGCCACAACAATCAAGACTTCTTTCCAGTTCATCCCGGGTTGTGTTGCTCATGACCCACCAAGAAGCATTGATGAGATCTGTCTGAATATAAGGACAGGAAGAAGTAGATTTGAAAACAAATACCTTCCTCCAGCCTGGTTTCAATCAGAGTCCTTACATTAACACAGTAACATTCCTCAGAAACATCAAAATGTATACTATTGAAATTATGGAGATAAGGTAATACTCATCATGTTAGGTGTCCCTGAGTCAGGAACAACTCATAGCTGACCATCAAGTGAGTTTTCAGAGGCTGCGAATCTGTGGGAGGAGCCTGCCCATCTTTCTCCAGTAGAGCAGCTGGTGGGTTCAAACCATGTGCCAGTACAGCTGTTTAACACTAAGCCACCAGAGCTCCCCCATATTAGACTCCCTTAAATCTTCGTCAAAACAGTCAGACTTCGGAAGAGATCAAAGGGCTTAACAGTGGAATTAATAAGCCTAAATGGTTTTTGAGACGTTGGAACCAGGCAGAAGTGGGGGAGTTAATGATTTGGTGGTGGTGGTTATTTTAAAAAGGGCTTACAAAGGTGTCCCCTTACCTGTTTGCTTCTGTTAATAGCCAGGCATGAGCAAGAAATTCCAAACTGGAAGACTAAGACAAAACCAAGGATGATCATGTACTGAGAGTAAGAGTTAGGGAAAAAAAACAGTTGCAAAGGTGATGAGATAAATTTCTACTAAATTCTGCAGTCTGAAATTGATCAAACATGCCATCAAGATACATTAATGATTACTGACCAATGCATTAATTGGGAACAAAGGCAAAAATAAGACCTGGATGTTAAAAATTACTCTCAAAAATCTGATGGTATAGTATGTTCTACAACTAGTAGGGCGCTCTGGTGGCCTACTGATAAGAACCTACATTGCAATCCCGAATGCACAGGGTTTCTGAATCCACCACCAGCTTTGTGGGAGAAGGATGGGCAATTAAACTTTAATTAAACCTTGTGATTAAACTGCCTCTGAAAACCCGCTGATGGGTCAGTTCCAACTCAACAGCACGAAATAGAGTCCTTTATATCCTGACTATAAAATATACATCCATTGGTCTTCATTCATGTAAGAACTACAACTATGTCAAACCCAAATTTTCAGCTGTGTAAAGGAAGGTGACACTTGTGCCTGAGGCTCCATCTCTTCCTAAACTACCCTCCTGCTAGCTCAAGTTCTCCCATCACTTCAGGTTAGGATACAAAAAAGAGCAGAACTTGGTGGTGGTTAACAGCACCAACCAGCCCAGCTACTGCGATAAGGAGGAGGAAGACTCCCACAGCAATGACTCCTCCAATGATGTGGATGCTGGACACCAGACCAAGGCCCTTCCCCCAAGCAGCCACTCCAATGAGCAATAATCCCACCAGCTACAGAAAACAAAATTAATTAGTGCAAGCTTCATCTCGGATTTACTAGCATGTGGTACTGTCATACTAGGGCGTCCAGGTAGAAACGAAGCATCAAGTTGAGCGTCTGTGGAGTAGAAAGGAGAGGTACTCTGATAAGGTGCGTTTGCCTACAAGAGGCTCCTATCAGAGTTCACGTAGCAAAAATGAGGGGAAATGGGAGCCTATGAATACAGAAACTTGTCTTTTGGGAGAAAGGTTCAGAGGCCAGAGAGATGGAGTTTTTCATTCACATGCTTATCTCCCCCACCCCCACAGCAAATCCACTTATCACCGGAAGTCTCCCCTCTTCCCACGGAAGTTCCCAGGAATTCCCTCTTCACCGGAAATTCCCTAGAATCTTCCGAGAAACTCCAGAATCCTTCTCACCACCGGAAGTCCCCTGGAGATTCTCCCCTGTCGCCTTTTGGCCCTGAAGCACCTCCCCATCTCCAAAACCTCACCATGTAGACTACGTTGAGGGCGCACAGCGCATTCTTGGAGCAAGCAAAGCCTCCACAAATCATCTTCCCAGCTCTGGAGACTGAAGTAGTCCCAGGAACTAGGGGGAAGGTGTTCCGAACCGTGTTCTAGGACCCCCGATTACCTTCTATCTCTTTAAATTTAATCCAGCCAAACTCAAGCCTCTGCGCGTGCACCGCCCCACCCCTCCTTCTGGATTGGCGAAACTCAGGGCTAATCCGAGACGTCGATGGCCACAATGCCAATCAATATGCATTACGTTACTGAACCGCCTTCCAACCGCTTTTTAAGGATTTTCATTGGATGAAACTTAATACTGAGGACTGGGCGTATAGATAGTCTCGTAGGGACCAGATCCTAAATTTTAAAATCTTGGACAGGAAGGGAAGGTTCTGTGGTTGCACCTGGAAGAGGGCTAATTGAAGGGATAAGGTTCTGAAGAAACTCGTGAAGAAAGAGAGGGTGGAGCTTCAAGAGGCCATCTAAAGAGTTCCTCCTGTCGTGGGAATGTCCTTTCCCGCCCCTTTCCTACTGACCTAAAGTGACCGCATGATGATGCTAGTAGTTTGTTGGTATTGTGCCACACTCAAGAACGGACAATGAAACAGGATGTTGAGACATTTAGCCTGGCCACAGAGGTCCAGAGCTAGGCACAGCTTTATTGTTGTTGTTGTTGTTGTTGTTGTTGAATGTCATGGAGGTGTCTACTTAATGTATTTGGAACACTGCTCAATTTGGCACTATCTTCACAATCTCTGCGGTTACAGTCACTGTACTAATCCATTCATTCCGTTGAGGATCTCGTTTTCACTGATGTCTACCAAGATTTCTTTGTCTAGAGACTGGCCCCTCCTGATAATATAGCCAAAGTATTGAGTGACAGGTTTCAACATCTTTGCTTCTAAGGAGAATTCTGGCTGCCCTTCTTCCAAGACACTTTGATTGCTCTTTTGGTAGCTCATGATATATTTAATACTCTTCACCAACACTACAATTCAAAGGCATCAGTAACTCTTCAGCCTTCCTTATTCATTGTCCAACTTTATATGTTGTTGTTATGTGCCGTCAAATTGCTCGCGACTCATAGCGACCCTATGTACAATAGCCCTAAACTCTGCTCTGTCCTGTGCCAATCTCACTGTCTCCTATACACCCATGCAGATTATCCCAGTCACTGAATCAATCCACCTCCTAGATGGCCTTCCCCTCCTGCGCCTGCCCTCCACCCTACCAAGCATGATGTCCCTCTCCAAGGACCAGTAGCCTCCTGACAACATGTCCAAAGTATGTCAGATGCAGCCTCAGAATCCTTGCCTCCAAGGAGCCGCCCGGTTTAACCCTTTCCAGGATGAATCTGTTTGTTTTCTTAGCAGACCATGGTACTCTCAATAATCTTCTCCAGCACCACAGATCAGAGGCATCAATTCTCCTTCTATCCTCCCTAGTCATTGTCCAACTCTCTGATGCATAACAAGTGATTGCAAACACCATGGAGGGCCTGTATCAGACACACCTTAGTCTCCAGAGAGACACCATTGCTCTTCAGTACTTTGGAGAGGTCCCTAACAGCAGACTTTCCCATCACAATACGTCTTTTAATTTCCTGGTTGCTGGTGCCAAGAGTGTTGACTGTGGAGCCAAGCAAACTAAAGCTGTGAACAATCTCAATCTCTTCACCATCCATCCTGATGCTGCCAATTGGTCCAGTGGTGAAAATCTTTGTCTTCTGTACACTGAGCCTCAACTTATATTGAAGGCTGCTGTACTTGACCCTCTGTAGCAAGCGCTTCAGGTCCTCCTCAGTTTCAGCAAGCAGGGTTGAGTCATTGCATAATGCAGATTGTTGACAGATCTTCCATCAATCCGGACACCACATTTCTCCTCATAGAGCCCAGCCTCCCAGATAATCTCGTCAGCATACAGGTTGAAAAGGTATGGAGACAGGACACATCCCTGGCATACAACCTTCCCAATTTTGAACCATGCAGTGTTTCCTTGCTCTGTTATGATGACTGCCTCTTTGTCCAAGTATAGGTTTCACATTAGCGCGATCAAGTGTTCTGGGATTCCCATTCCTCTCAGAGTCAGCCACATTTTGTTATGATCCACACAGTCAAACACCTTTGCATAATCAATGAAACACAGATAGACATTCCTCTGGTATTCCCTGTTCTCAGCTAAAATCCTCTAACATTAAGCTACAATATCCCTAGTACCACGACCCCTTCTAACTTTATATGAAACCACTGAAAGTATCATGACTTGAGTCAGGCACACCTTAATCTTCAAAGTGACAAACTTGCTCTTTAGCACTTTAAAGAAGTTCTTGGATGAAATTTATCCATTGCAATACATGTACTTGAAGTCTTTTTTCTTATTGTGTGCCATCAAGTCAAATCTGACTGGCGCAGGAGGAGATTGCTCCTCCCTTCCTTCTCCAATCTAGTGATTTGAACCATGTGCCTTTTAAATTGCAGTACAGATTCTTACCACTAGGCTACCAGAGTTCCCTATGTGCTTGATTTCTTGACTACTGTTTCCATAGATATTGATTGTGAATCTGAGTGAAATTAATCTGTGATACCTTCAATCTTTTCTCCATTTATGTTGTTTATTAATCCAGTTGTGAGGATTTTTATTTATGTTGAGGTGTAAGTCATACTGAAGGCTATGGTCTTTGAGCTTCATCAGTAAATGCTTCAAGTTTTCTTGAAAATTTTATTATCTGTATATTGCAGGTTTTAATTCATTTCCATCCAATTCTGATACCATGTTCTTCATATAAACCAGTGCCTCAGATTATTTGCTCAGTGTACAGGTATTGAACAGAGAAAGAGTCAATAATGTGAATATATACGAAAGAAAATTGTTGTTATGTACTGTCAAGTCAGAACTGACTCATAGCTGACTCTGCAGTGGGCTTTCAGAAGAGACTCTAAGTTGCTTGGGTCTGTCTACTCCTGTGTGTGACAAAGCCATACGTGCATAAACTTGTGTATTCAGTAACATTTTCCCCATGGTGGATTTGAACCACATGTCTTTAGTTTGCCAGCACAGTTTGTCAGAGAGTTGGACAATGACTAGGGATGATAGAAAGAGAATTGAAAAAAAAAAAAAAAAGAAAGAGAATTGAAGCCTTTGAGCTGTGGTGCTGGTGAAGGGTGTTGAATATACCCTACACTGCCAGGAGAATGAACAGGTTCATCCTGAAAGAAGTGAAACCAGGCTGCTCCTTGGAAAGGATTCTGAGGCTTCTTCTGACATACTTCAGGCATGTTGCAAGGAGAGACCAGTCCTTGGAGAGAGACATTACGCTTGGAAGGGTGGAGGGACAGAGAAAGAGAGGAAGACCATAGATGAGATGGATTGATTCAGTGGGATAATGAAAGCAGGTGTGTCAGAGTCAATAAAGCTGGCACAGGATAGAGCAGGTTTCAGGATATATGTTTGTACATGGGTCTTTATGAGTCACAGGCAACTCGACAGCACATAACAACACACAACAAGCCACCAGACTTCTCATTTTCACTCTGGTGTGAGCATGATGGTTGATCAATAAATGTTTATTCTTTAATAAGTACTTTAAGGTTTTTGTACTCAATGTCAAGAAGACAAAGATTCTCGCCACTGGACCAATTGGCAGCATCAGGATGGATGGTGAAGAGATTGAGATTGTACACAGCTTTAGTTTGCTTGGCTCAACAGTCAACAGTCTTGGCACCAGCAGCCAGGAAATTAAAAGGCGCATTGCCATGGGAAAGGCTGCTGTTAGGGACCTCTCCAAAATAATGAAGAGCAATGGTGTCTCTCTGAAGACTAAGGTGCGTCTGATACAGGCCATGGTCTTTGCAATCACTTCTTATGCATCAGAGAGTTGGACAATGACAAAGGAGGATAGAAGGAGAATTGATGCCTTTGAGCTGTGGTGCTGGAGAAGAGTATTGAGAATACCATGGACTGCTAGGAAAACAAACAGATTTGTCCTGGAAAGGGTTAAACCGGGTGGCTCCTTGGAGGCAAAGATTCTGAGGCTCCGCCTAACATACTTTGGACATGTTGTGAGGAGAGACCGGTCCTTGGAGAAGGACATTGTGCTTGGGAGGGTGGAGGGACAGCGCAGTTGAGGAAGGCCCTCTATGAGGTGGATTGATTCAGTGACTGGGATAATCGGGATGGGAGTGTCAGAGACAGTGCGATTGGCACAGGACAGAACAGAGTTTAGGGCTGTTGTACATAGGGTCGCTATGAGTCACAACTGACTCGACGGCACACAACAACAACAACAACAAGTACTTTAAGACACAGATCTTTTTATAGGAATGGGGGAAGGGATAGTACCCCTAGTAAAAGAACAATTTCTTCTAGAACAAATGAAAATCCTTTTCCTTCCCATCCTACTGAATGATCCAAACTGGTTACACTTAGATCCTGTGGCTGCATAAACACTGTGGTATAGTAGGTATGTCATTCAAAATGGATCCCCTAGGTTATTGCTTTGACTTTCACCACTTGGCCGATTGAGAATGCGAAATAAGCTGTGTTAATCTATCTATGGTGGAAATGGCCAGTTTGGCTATTACACCAGGTTTAAATTGAGAAGGCTCAGCAGTAGAGATTGGGAATTTCACTACTAGCAAAGCAGCAGCAGCAGAGAATGCAACACATCCTTTAGGGCCAGAGGCTTCGGTGCCAGTCTGTCTAGAACGTACATAAGAACACCAACAGCAACAATAGAGGGACAGAGACTAATGTGAGACAGAGCTGACCTTGGGATTGATGTCCCAGAGCCAGGGACCTCTGTCCAAGCTTTCTGGAAGACTAAAAAGAGATGCCATAATGGGCAGGACTAAGAGAGCTTTTTTTGTATATATATATTTTTCATTCATTTATTGTTGTACATTTTACCCTTTTACCTTCCTTTCCCCATTCTCCAGTTCACTTATTTAAAAAAATATTCATTCATTGTTGCACAATTACCTGCCTCCCGTACCTCTTTACAATGATCTCTTATTCTGAGCTGTTGTCATACATACAATGTCTATTCATATATTTATTTTACCCAATGAGA